TATACGAAACCTTTTTCGTACGAAACTAAAAAATGGTTCAGAATTCGTTTCAAATCTCGAAACCATTTTTTAGTTTCGTATGATACCTTTTTTTTTCCCAGTGTAGGCTAGCCGTACGATGCGAACTCAGCTCATTATATCTCTGACTCTATCTCAAAATAATTAAGTATGTTGAATAATGATGAAATAAAAGGAACAAAATAAAACTCATAAAAATATGTTCATATGTAAAAGAATATCATACATTCTCGTATTCTTTTGCAATCAGTGTTCTTCGATACCTAAAATAGAAAAAAAAGACATTAAAAAGTACTACTGGTTCGTACCTGAAATAGTAATACAAAAGCGTTTTGTCATTCTTATCAATAATCGTAACCTTTTGTTTGTAAAATAGGACCGGAACAAGCAGAGAAATTCGATATAATGTCATGAGATAAGCAACAAAACGATTTTAATTGAATTTTGTACATTATCTCTGCAGTTTTAAATCATCTCTCAATAAGGAACAGAAGAAAAAAAGCCACTTCCTTTCAAACTGAATACTAAAATAAAAATCATTATACTGTTTTTTACTCTACTGATCAAGTGTATGACCGACTTATAAGTGAATTGATTCTAGTAAGAATGTTTTTCTTTTACACATCGAGTTAATACAGAAAAATTGAGAGAATAATAATTCGATAGATTTTATGTTAATACTGATTTCAAAGAAACAAAAGATACCACAGCGCTTTTGAAGATCATAATAATGAACCCCGCATATTGACAATGTTACGGTTTGACTCTGTGAAATGGCGAGTCTGTATTTCATTTGTAGATGACAGACAGTGATGATGTAAATGAGATGCAAACTTTTGTTTCATCCAATACTGAAGTAAATAATGTCTTTCAAAACCATTTTAATCCGGGTGATAATATCAAAATAATAGATCACATCGGTCCTGATGGTAAAATTTCATTACATGTTGCTAGTACTAACATTAGAAACAACGAAGTTGCTCAATTATTATTTACCAATGATGCCTTGAAATCTTTTGAAAGTATTTCATATCCATTAACACCCTATGATGAATCAAGAAGAAAAGAACTGAACACACTAATGGAAAACAATTCGAATCTATTTCATTGCCCGCAAGAAATCCCAGATTGTGATTATATTGAATGGTCATTAATTGGTAAGAATTTAATAGAAAAACGTAAACAATTTCGTGAACAAATTGATTTATATAAAACTTACGATAATCGACATCATTTAATAACAAAATTAGTATTTGAAATAATTAACTATTATCTAAATAAATATTTAGTTCATCAAGAAGGTTTTCCTCTATTTGAAATAAAAAACTTGGAATCTTATTTTAAAAAAGCTATAGAAGAACAAAACTATTTAGAATATTTTATTAAAGCTTATACTTTAACAAGTAATTTTTATCGTGTTCTAAATAAACATTTAGCGTTATATATATTAGACTATTTTGATCCACCGTCTTCACAAACAAAATATCGTTTAATCAATTGTTTAGTACATATTGTTACATTATTAGTTAATCATCCAGATATAAACAAGTATACATATAGAGGTACTACTTATCGTGGTTTATCGATGACAAAAAAGGATTTAGAAAAATATACCATCGGTAATCACATATTGAACAGAACATTTGTGTCAACATCGAAAAATCGTTCAATCGCTCAGCTATTTGCTGGTAATAGTCAGCAACCGTCAGCAGAAGTATCTGTTCTGTTAAAATATACCACGAAACAAAATAAAACAGCTATTGATATTGAACATATATCAATGATACAAGATGAAAAAGAAGTATTAATATTACCATTTTCAGTATTTCAAATTAAAGATTTAATCAAAAATAGTCCAGATATGTCTCCACCTGTGCTATATGAAATTGATCTAGAAGAGTGTGAAGATGGTGAACAAACAAAAGGAACAAACTACATAAGTGCGTATCAATCCTATGAACACACCATTCTCCGAAAAGCATAGATTTTATGCACAAAAAAAATGATAGCACAGCCCAAGATTTTCAGATTTTACTTACAAAATGTTTCACCAGGGATAGGCTTTGCTAGCATTAAGTCATTCGTTTAAAACTAAGCTTTCGTCATGTATTACATGCGCGAATGGGAACATCTTTTTGGGTAATTTGCAAAGCTGTTGCTTCCCTTTTCTAACGCGAAACCGCGATGACCAAAGTAAAACACTGGTCACACTAAGCAATTATAATTATGATTATGCGCATGATAATAAAACAAGTCATTGGACTGCAGAATTTCTTTTAAAAAAATCGACTTTCTATTGTATCAGTGAGTTTTTGAAAAGGATATTCAAGATCTATCTGATTTCTTTAGGGGAATCATTAACTGATTTTCGACGTCGTGCACAGAAAAGAAAAAACGCCATCAGATTAACATGTTTATATGGCAGTATTGTACTATTCATAATTGTTGGTTTGATTCTAGCTGCAGTTTTCATAATCAAAAATGGAACAACATTAACAAAGAGGGTACAAAATGAAGGTAACAAAAAGCCTCAAAAGATACAATATATGAAATTTTTATAAACATTGTCTCGTTTTAACTATTTTGAAGATCAATGTCCAATACTGATAAATAGAACTGCTTGGAATGCTATTGAACCAAAAAAGTATACTAAATTATTAACACCTGTTCCGTATGTTGCAATACACCATACAACCGGTCCGCAATGTACAGCTCTTGATGATTGTATATCACTAATACAATCTTTTCAGAGACATCATTTAAAAAACCCCGACTGGGATGATATTGGTTATAATTTTGTAGTTGGCAGTAATGGTCACGTATTCGAAGGTAGAGGATGGAATCATACAGGTTCACATTGCAAAGGCTATAATCCAAAATCAATTGGTATGCATATTTTAAAAGATTGAGCGAAAGCACAATATTTTAAATTTGTTCATTTTCAAGGTATTGGTGTTATTGGTGATTTTTCTAAAGTTTCACCTTCGAAGTCAACATTAAATGCTGTTCAGTCATTAATTAACTGTGGGATAACGTACGGCTTCATCCAAAAAAACTATACAGTTCTTGGACGAAATTCTGCTGGTGGCATTAACAAATTTTTTACTCTAAAACCTGTTTGCTAATAAGTCAAAATTATTATCACTAAGTAATTTCAAATAAATGCAAAGCAAGATTATCTAAGATCAGGAGACTTTTTATGTCGACATGGTGTTAGAGCCTGTCCCTATGGTCGGATCCTATTCGACGGACTTTATATGGCGTATAGCTGTTATTTCTTGCTTGTCTTCTAGTAACACATTGAACTAGACATAGCAAGCGAGAAGCATAGGTTCTACCGATGATGATTCACTGTTAATCCATTTAATTTTATGAAATATTTGAGGTAAGATATGTAAACAAATTCAATCAAGCCTTCTATGAGATTAGACCGGTAACAAAAAGCATTTTATTTATTAGTATGTTTTTGCGCTGAAACTAGTAATATCATCGGTCGTTCACTCTCCTCTTTCAACGATGGGGTTTCAGCAATTTGGTGTAGTGTGGGGCCCCATTCTTCAACATGTTTGATAATAAATCCTTGTTCGATGAGTAAATTAAGGTAAGTTCCGATCATACGATGTTGCTTAATGATACCTTCAGTCAACCAATTGGTTATACGGCGTCCTTCCGTCTGATAGCTGTTCGCTGGCCATGATTTTTGTCCCTCTTCGTCGATTAACCAGCGTGGATGTTTTGAAGCCGTATAAATCGGATGCTCTACTGAAACGACAACGTGGCCACCCGATGTTAACGATTGATAAATCGTTTTCAATAATGTGGACAAGTCTTCAATATAATGCAATGTCAGTGAACTATAGACCAAATCGTATGTAGCTTCAGGTAGTTTAAGTTGCTCTAAGTCCTCGTTACGATAAATAATTGCGGTGTCCGATGTCATCTCTCTGGCTTTGTTTAGCATTCTTTCGGAAATATCCAGTCCAAGTACCTGCTTTGCTCCCTTCTGCCGTGCATCACGACAGAACCAGCCGTATCCACATCCGAGATCGACAATATTAAGTCCCTCCATTTCAGGTAGCATCTTGACAATTGATGGCCATTCAGGCGCCCCATTCAGTCCATTGACAGAACGACTAAGCTGAGCATATGCTTCAAAGAAGTCCTGATTATCGTAAACATTTTGTGCCATTTACTTTCTCAAGAAACTTTGTTGCGCATAAACTGAAATGAAAAAAAAACAGATAAATTTCATGTTTTAGTTATTTCAAGATAACGAAGTTCGACGAGATAGTATCGAGTATATTTTAAATCTATATCGACCGTCCTTAAGGCAGTAGCCTGAGTCCCTACTTGTTTATTGTTTTCCACAGTGATCTTATCATCGTAATAGGAGCCCACTCAGGGCATATGTTTTGTCGACGATCTTAATATGCACATTAAGCTATCCGCAATGCGAGTTCTAGCCTTGGTGATTGAATTTATGCGTACTCAAAAAGTGCAAACAATCGATTAATATCAAAAAAACCGTAGCACAGCTGCTAAAGACTCACATGAAGAAAAATCGCTTTGAAAAACCAGAACAATGTGCACATTTTATTCACAATCTTTATTTATCGTGATGTTCTGTTTCTTTAATGATGACATAGAAATAACACATTTTATTCTGACTCCCTATCTATCATGTAAACACACGTATCATGGGAGAAAATAATATTTGAGGGTGAGGACGTAGATTTGTTGGAGAAAAGAGTAACTGTTATAATTAAAATTAAATAGGATCGAATTCGAAGTAAATAATCAAAATCTCTCCAAAATAAAAAACACTGTACAAAGAGATTCAACGAAAATATGTCTCATCTAGTCATCAAAATTTACATTACAAGTAAGATCTGTTTTCGACAAGGTACAACATAAAAAATATACAGGCTAATAGAGTAGCGAAGTTATTCTCTATTCAACTATCTCATTATAAGAAAATATTTAGTTTGCATCGCTTGTTGATATCGACGTTAAATAGATAATATGTTTGTTTTTCGTCTTGTTGAATTCAACACGTTCAATTTTAAACGATCGTCCTGGTCGTATGAGTATTTCTTCTTCGTCCGGATAAGTAGATAGAGCAGAAATGTCCATGTTCAACGTACGATATGAAATATGATTTTCAGCATTCAGTACAAATAAAGCATTGCCAAACTGTTCGGCTTTTGCACGGTTGCGACTACACGATGTAAATGCTTGAAATGATCTTCGTGGATCTTTGCTACGAGCGACATAATGATATGCAGCGATCATTTCATCGGTCAATTGAGCACCTCGATACACGGTGTTATTTGTTCGATGGGTTAGATTTTCGTAAGATAAATAATAGTAGAGAAGAAAAGCAAATGGACCTAAAGTTTCTATTTTACTTTGCCAGCTATTTTCATGATCTATGTCACCAATGAGACGCATCGCGTGATTGAGAATTTTGTAAAGAAATGATTCAAGAGTATAAATATAGACACAACATTCACCGATGTCTTTTTTTGTTTTGTCTTTGACTTTTTCTAACTGTTCAACAATCCATTTCGCTTCGCATTGTTTTCCAATTAGCTGTCCTTCATACAGAATTCCCAATTTTGCTTTCTCTACAATGGTAAATTTTTTTTTTTTGTTCTTTGAATGATATTTTTGATTGTATTAATTACAGGCTCAAGTATTATCTGGTGAAAAAACCTTAAGATTACATTATGTTCGATGTAAATCATATAATGCTGATTTTGATGGTGATGAAATGAATATTCATTTACCACAAAATGAATGGTAAAATGGAATTCCGACAAAAAGAATTTCGCCAACGGAATTTCGACAATGTCCAAATTGTAGTAGAATTTTGACACATGTCGAAATTGTAGTAGAAGTTGGACAAAATTGTCGAAAATCCACTAGAAGTTGGACAACATTGCGAATTTGTTGGAATTCTTGTGGAATTACGACAAAATGTTTTTTTGCTGGACATTTTATTGTCCATTTTCCATCAGAATTTGGATAATATGTATTGAAAAAAAATACATATATAGGTATATATATATAATTACTAAAATTTTAATTTATATGAGGGTGTGGGTGCGGCTATGGGTCTCGATATTTGATTTCCCTATACACATCCATACCCTTCTTCTTTTGGATATTATTGATGCTAATTTAAGAAAATAAAAATACAGATAGTTTGCTATAAGACATCCAGCTCTTTCTAAGTCATTATTTGCTCATTGTTTGTGAAACAAAGAAAGCCATATTCTAACATATATTCTGGCCTCGGATTCGTCCTATATTTCCTATATTTCCTATATTTATAAAAATTCCTATTTTTTCTCCTATATTTCGATGCATTTTCCTGTATTTCCTATAAAAATGAAAAAAAGTAGAAAAATGCTAAAAAACGCTCTTGTTTTAGTATAATTTTCGTGTTTTTTAAACAAATCTATTCGATAATTATTGATTCTTTTGTATTCTTAGAATTTTTTTACAGGGACTCTATTTTATTTACAATTTTTTTTCACATTATCAAACGAACTAAATGAAAAAAAACTGACTATTTTAAGTAAAGGTATTCAAACAAAGTAAAATAATCTTTATAAATAGTTGTGTGTTTTTTAAAAGCTTTTATTGTTGCCTATCATATGCAGTTACGTAAATGGTTTTGTTCAAGCGTAACGCTGTGACCTTTTTTGACACACTTTGTTTTCCATTATCTTGGAAATTGTGTGAGTTCGAAAGTTCGTTCAAACGTGATTTAATGCAGCGTGTCATGATATGTTTACGCCATAAAATGACCATTTTTGGATTAAGTCTCTTGGTTATAGAGCGTTTTGGTTGCTTGACTGTGACATAAAAAGACCCTTTTCTTCAGGGCCACTAATAGCTGCAATTTCTTCTGCAACTATTTCTCCAAATGAAACACTTCTCGAGTTAGTTTTGTAGTGCTTTTTGACCAGGCTTTAAAACGCTAAAATTGTTTTCTCCGAGCTATTTTTACTAACGCTGAGGTACAGTTTTTCTTCACCAGTTTTGAAGGACTGACATGATCAGAGTTATTTGATTTTTATTAGTAAGTCTTTTCTTTGTAACTAATCGTTATACACAAAAACGAAATTGATATATCTGTATAGAAGCTCATAAACGGTAAATTGAGTTAGAAAGTGTATAAGAGTTTACATTGTCCTTAGCTACGAAAGTTAAAACAAAATAGACCGGCTTGTAGAGACTGAAATTCTACAACTAACGATCTGTCATTGATATTTTTTGAAAACATTTCTTGGTTAAAACACTCAAAATGCGATCTTTGAAAATTTTCATACTCGGTGTGAGTGTAGGTTGATGTGAGGATAAACACAATACAAACCATTACCCACACCCTGATTTATTTTGTATTAGTTTATTAATATGTAAATAAACATATTTCGATTGAATTTAATTGTGTCTGACTCATTTAATTTAATTTAAGAAAGAATTAAAATGAAATATTGACAAAAATTTCGTGCATATGTTAAATTGATGCAGGAAAAGTTTAAAACAACGTTTAATTCGAATCTAAACAACGAATTTTCAATATCCTATTTTTTCCTGATTTTTTACACCTTTTCCTGTATTTTTAAAAAATTTGACCCTGTGCTAATTCCTACATTTTCAAAAACTTGCAATCCGAGGCCAGCATATATTCTGAATATAGTTGAGAAATATATTGTCGTATTGCCGGTGGAAAGTCGACAATAAAACAAAAATATAAATCATAAAAGCTGTCCAAATTCTGATGGAAAATGGACAAGAAAATTCCAGCAAAAAAAAGGTTGTCGTAATTCCACAAGAATATCAACAAATGTAGAAATTCGACAACGTTGTCGAAATTCTACTACAATTTGGACATTGGCGAAATTCCGTTGGCGAAATTCTTTTTGTCGAAATTCCATAGAACCAAATGAATTAACACGAGCTGAAGCTGCTGAATTAAGTACATATAGGTTTTTTTTTGTCAAGAAAAAACAAAGTTTTGTTTTTTGTATTTTTAGTGATAACTTATCAACATTTTCTTGTAAGTAAAGATGGAACACCATTAACTGGTCTTATTCAAGATCATGTTGTTGCTGGTACAGCATAACAATGCGTGATCCATTTTTTGAAAAGTATTTTATTTTATTTAAGTTACAAAAATTATATTTATATAAATTCTTTTTTATTTTAAGATTGATTATCAATAACTTGTATATAATGCAATTGGATCAAATTCTCGTCGAAAAATTCATTTATTACCACCATGTATTTGGAAACCAAAACAATTATGGACTAGAAAACAAGGATTTTTTTGTTTCTCTTAATAAAATCTATTTGTTTTTTTATTAAGATTATTTTTCAACAATACTTCTTTATATTCAACTAGTTAATGAAGCTTCACTTACTCTCGATAGGAAATCAAAACTTTCAATGAAAGTAAAACAAAAAGATGAATATATAAATAATAAAATAATAAAAATATTTCTTATAGTCATGGTCAACGAAATCAAATGCAACAAATATTGATTTAATGGCTGATACAGATGTTATTATTCGTCATGGACATCTTCTATCTGGTTTAATTGATTTACGCACATTGTGGTTCAACACTTGCATCTGTTGTTCATTGTTATTATGAATTTATATGGAAAACGTTGTGCTGCTGATCTTGTTGCTGCTTTTTCGAAATTATTTACACTTTTTTTTTCAATATTATCGAGGATTTGCACTTGGAATTGAAGGTAAAAAAAATTTTGTTTTGATCTAGAAATAAATATTTTTTGTTTTAGATGTTCTTTTACTTTCACCTGGTGTATCACATCGACGTCGATTAATAAATCAATGTCGTGCTCAAGTAGGTCAAAAAGCTTTACAAAAAAACATTTTCTCTTCCCGAAAAATTCTAATGAAAAAATACTTATTAATGAATTTGCTAAAGCATTTTGTTCAAAATCATTTGATGAACGTATATCAAAAGAAATGGATATAAAAATTATAAAATATCTATTGATGAACATCAAAATCAAATTGTTAAACAATCTATGTCAAATTTATTTAAACAATTTCCAGAAAATAATTTACAATTTTTAATTCAATCCGGTGCTAAAGGTAAAACTATTCATTCATTGATTTTTATTTAGATTTGTTTTCGTTTATTGTGAAGTATTTATCCTATATTTATTATTTCAGGTCGACTAATTCTATACTCGAATCTTTTAATAACTACGTCACTTGGATTTTTATATGACTATCAAATCGATTTCGGATTTTTTAACCTGGAAATCCCTCACAAGTACAGAAGTGTATAAGATTCCGTCAAATTTTCAAACTGTCTGACGAGAGAAGGTCCCAAACTTAAGGACGCTGTTCGGCTCCATATTATGACTACGAGGTAGGACTAAGAAAAGCCTAACAGGATTCGTGCCTGTGGCAACGGATTTCTGAAAAGACCGAATTAAAGAATTTCGACCTGAAATTTTTTATCCATAGATAGGTCTAATGGTCATTAGAATTGTCTGAAAGTTTCAGCCAAAATGAACGTTCCTTTCTTGAGATATTGAATTATCAAAAAATAGTCACTTTTCACAGACAGGTCATAAAAACTGAGTCTATTTGACAATTCAATATCTCGATAAAAGAACATTCGTTTTGGCTGAAACTTTCAAACAATTCTAATGACCATTAAATCTATCTATGGACAAAATTTCAGGTCGAAATTCTTTAATTCGGTCTTTTCGGAAATCCTTTGCCACAGGCACGAATCCTTTTAGACTTTTCTTAGTCTCATAGAGACCTACTTCGTAATCATAATATGGAGCCGAACGGCGTCCGTAAGTTGGGAGCTTTCCCTCGTGAGAGCTTTGATACGAGCTATGATAGTTATGTGAACGAACTAAATATTGACTTGTATACTTTTTACAGTTCCTTGTTATCATATAACCTGAGTGATGTGTTCATTACACTACTTTTCTCATTTATACGTTCATCTGTCATCACTATTTTGTAAATTTTAATATACGTAGATATTCTAAACTGCGCTTATTGTAATACTTTGGTTTGAGAACGTATCGAGCTTCAGAAGAGTTGAGAAAAAAATCTCTATATACTGCTCTGACAGACGACGGAAAGAAATATAAAGTAAACACTTTACTATCAAATGAAGGCTACTCATTTTTATGAAATAGGTAGTTCAGATCTTATGAGTGTTTCAATAATGAATCTCATACTGGCATTTGTTTTTCGAATTCAAAAACCTTTCTCTCAATTGACCATCGTTTCATTTCTAGACTATGTATAATCTGATAACAGCAAAACAATCTCAAGAGAATGGTATTAAAACATGCCTATTTCCTATTTGTCAGTTTCTGAACAGTTGTCTATTATTAATATTCATGTGTAGACATTTTTCGGCTCACAAAAGAAATTCGTTTATTCGTTAATAGAACACATGTTAAATAATCGAAATTAGATATATCACATGAAGCTACAACAAAACAGCTGAAAGTGATGAACTAATCAATTCGATGATATGCACTGTTATTTTGCACTCGTTCAGATCTTCTTCATATCAGTGATAATTGAGTGTACCTAAGAACATATTCAAAGACAGAAAGTTAGAACTAAACTTTAACGATGTATAGCATCAAATAAAATTGAGTATCTATAAGCTATTTCTAACCAACGTTTGATCTTCCTTTAGAAACATTCTGATAAATTGCTTAACAAAAATCGATTGATGCTTTTCATTGAACAAAAATCAAATTCCGTTCATCGGGGGAATTCGATGATCTCTCACATAATTTTAATCTCTATTATGTTAACACTTTAAAAAATTAAAATGAAATAAAACTTCTACTACTAATTTCAAAGTTATAGTAATAAAATATTTTTTTGATATTATTTAAGGTTCATCTGTAAATGCAATGCAAATGTCTTGTTTACTTGGTCAACAAGAATTAGAAGGTAAACGTCCACCAATGATCCCAAATGGTCGAACTTTACCAGCATTTCGTCCATATGAATATTCACTACGATCAGGTGGTTTTGTTGATGGAAGTTTTTTAAGTGGTATGCGACCACAAGAATATTTTTTTCATTGTATGGCTGGATGAGAAGTACGAAAAACCATATTTTTTTTTCTTTTTCTTTTATTAGGGTCTTATTGATACAGCTGTAAAAACTGCACGTATTGGTTATTTATAACGTTGTTTAATGAAACATTTAGAAGGTTTAGTTGTTAATTATGATTTAATAGTACGTTATAGTGATGGAAGTGTTATACAATTTCAATATGGTGAAGATGTTTTAGCTGTTAAGAAAATGTACTTATTTAAAAGAACAATATTATATCCATTTCTTATTGCTAATCAATCAACAACATTAGGTCAAGATGAATTTATTCACGTATTGTTGATATATGTGGTTCAACAAAAGAAAAACTAATTATAAAAACATTAACAAAAATTCGTGCATGGAGAAAAAAAACTCGAGATTTAGCTGATGATGAAAATAATTTAAATAATTCAATATATTTAAAAATAAGTGATGAAACAAAAATACGTATGACACCATTTATAAATTATTCACGTTTTTTTTTATTTACATACATATTAATTAATTCATTAAAAAGTAAAGATATTAATCAAGCACGATCAATTATGGTTCAAACATGGAAAAATTTATCTGATGATAAATGTGTCAACAATATAATTATGGTGTTGTTAAATTTTATTCACCTGTTACACAAAATTCTTTACCAGCATCAAATTTAGGTGCTATTATTGAACGTTTAGATGATTTAATAAGAAATTATATTACAACACATGGAAAATTTTATATCAAACTAATATGGGGATAAACGAACATTTGAAAAAATGATTCATTTTAAATCACTTAAATCATGTATTTATCCAGGTGAAAGTGTTGGAATAATAGTAAGTTATATTCAAATATAAGTTTTATATATTTGAACAATTTTTTTTTTTTTTTTTTCTTTTGAAACATGATCTAAAACGAGTGTTGACGTATAGGAGTAAAAATGTTAGACTTCCACATAGACTATGATAGAGGTTAAAATACGAACATTGATCGTATATTAATAATGTCGAGTAATTACTCTGTGATTAGTAACAATAGTTTTTGTCAACTAGAAAAAATGAAAATAATAAAGATGGTTTTATATTTTGTCAAGATAAACACAGTTCGAAAACGAATTGAACTTGACTTAAAATATTCACTTGATATAGAATGATTTATAGATTTAAATTTGGAATGAATTTATTATCAAAGAGTTAGCGAGAATAGTACCAATTTAGATCGTCGAAAGTTGGATAAATAATACATTAACTCAGTCAGTCGATATGAAATTACAACATGTTTAATGTGAGAGTTAAATATCTCATTTTATAACTTTGATTTATATGTAAATCAAAGTAAATAAATCAAGAGTCTTAGAACAGATGTATTCGAGCGCGCTGAAGCTCATTGAAAACCTATGACGATCTATTGAAATCCAACAAATACATTATCAGTCAACGAATTCCACTATGATTTGAAATTAAAGAAGAAAATGTGCGCATCTTGACAAATCCTATTAAATTTCAGCAATCAAAGAATCTGTCGGAGCTCAATAGATTCCAGTGGAACCTGAGTAGATTAGATTTCATTATTCATTTTTCTATGTAATCTTAGCTTCCATTTGTTTTTATGGTCTAATTTCATTGAATTCTGATAGATATTCTATGGTTCTTGAAATTCAATAGAATCTATTCTTCTTTCTATAAACTATGGGTGGGCCATTAACATTAATTTTATATTAATGTTAATGTTTCTCATTAACCATTAATATTAATGCTTAATGTTTTCTAAGAAAAACTTAATTCATTAATATTAATGATTAATGAAAAACATTNATGAAAACATTAATTTTAAAATTAATGTTAATGTTTTTCATTAATCATTAATATTAATGAATTAAGTTTGTCTTAGAAAACATTAACCATTAATATTAATGGCTAATGGAAGTCATTAATTAATGTCATTAATTAAGTTCCGTTAAAAAAAATGGTCCACCCCTACTATAAACTACTAGTTGAATTTCACTAACAAAATAGAAATATGTGAAGATTCGATCTTCTATTTGAAAACAAATTAATATTCGGAAAATTTCATGTGCTTTGAACTAGACCGGAGATATCAAATTTCTTCACTATTTTTCTTTATTTTAACAATCAATAACAATTCTATTTGAGAAATTTTTTTCTTTTTAAGCTTTTCATTTTGGTGGTCGTGGTGAAATGAATGTAACATTAGGTGTTCCACGTCTTCGTCAATTACTTATGGTTGCTTCTCAAAAGGTAAAAACACCAACAATGGAACTACCTATTTTACATAGTTCATTAGCATTACGCGTAAAGCAAAACGTTTACAACGTCGTTGGTCTCGTCTTTTATTTTCTCAACTATTAAAAAATTTCAATATACATGAAAAACTTTCATTAAAATTAAATGATCATAAATGTACATATAAAATTGAATTTTATTTTAATGAAAAATATGGAAAAAAAACAATTAAATGAAATAATACGTTCATTTGAAACATATTTTATTCCAAGTTTATGTCGTTCAATAAATAGAAAATGTAAAGAATTAACAACAAGTGGTCTTTTAAGATCAGCACATATATTCGTAATAAGATAACAATTAATGATTCAAATGATAAAGATGAACACAACAAGAATTAGCTGAAAAAGATGATAATGATGATGAAGATGATGAACAAATTAATGGTGAAGCTATAATACAGCCAAAGAAAAAGCAAATAGAAATGATGAAAAAGAATATGATGATGATGACGATAATAATAATAATAATGAAGAAAATGAAACTGATGTTGAAGAAGCAATACAAGATAATCAAGATCAAAATGATCAAACAAATACATCGAAAATCACTATTAAAGAAGATGTCATTGATGATGATGATGATGATGATGTTGATGTTGATGTACCAGGTAATCTTATTGAAAATAAATCAGAGAAATAAAAACGCGAATGTTGAAATCATGGAGTTTACTCTTTTACTTCAGAATTCGTTTTTCTTAGCAGATCTTTGAGTTTTGCAGTTACGTATTTTTATATTCAAATTAAAAAAAAACTATTGTAAATGATGAATTTTAACGACTATACCTTCCAGTATGTGAAATTCTTATGCACTGTTAGTGTGCATTCTTGATTGAAAATGTTTATTTAATATATTCAGCAGAACTGACGAGGTAAATTCATCAATTATTCAATCTCTTTTGAGTTGAAAGTAACTATTTTAATTTGTTTCTATCTTAAAATAAGAACATTGAATCTATAAGTTTATATGAGCAATATAAAAGACAAGTTTTTATCATAGCTGTATCTTAAGATAGAAATAATGACAAGATCTGAAACTTTCATAATAAATTATTATTTTCATTAAGATTTGTCTCTATGCAAATCTTTAAGTTTAACACCAAGAGTAAGTTTTCCTTATAGTTCTAAGGAGAACTACACAGCATGCATTGTATTTTAAAAAAAAATTTAAGAATGAAGCATTTCAGCAGCAACTGTTTTCAAGATATTCAAAACTCATTAGGGCCTACCGTATATACACATAGTCTGAACTCGTTTGTGACTTTCCTATCACGTTTAGTCGTTCATAAAACTAGGATTAAGTAGTAGTCTAACTAAAGTCAGAGAATAAAATTCTTTCAACTAATATTTTGTTAGTGAACGTAACAGAACAGTCTATAATAACTAATTTTCGAACAAAAAAATTCTGTTTTTTTTTGTTTTTTTTAAATAGTATTGGATATATCTAAAGAAGAAATAAATAATGATGATGAACAACAAGTACGGCAATGAGGAAGATAATAACGATGAACCACCAAGTAAAAAAGCAAAGAAAATCAATACTAAAACTACTCCTATGGATAATATGACATACAACGAACGATTTGGTGTATGTATATAACAACAACAAAAAAAAACAAAATAGAACGATATAGTTTTGATTTCATTGATTAAAAATGA